TCCTCACCCTTTAAATAGTTTAGCACCTTTTAAACCTGGCAGGGAATGTTGTAGGAGCTGGGCCAAGAGGGCTGGCTCTGCCCTAGACCCTGCCCCATGGTCTGCATCGTCATTAGACATCATCTTCTGCCAAACAGGTGTGAGAGCCATCCCATGGCTGGCCCCGGGAGGTACTGACCGTTGAAGGGCTGCTTTGCCCAGATGTCAGTGGTACAAGGGAGAGGGGAAAAGGCAGAGGATGCTGCAGCACAGTGGGTTGACACACAGAGTCTTGGGTCTCGGGTAGGACACAGTCCTGCTGGCCCAGCCTCATTACTGAGGCTAATTATCCTTCCATTTGTGCTCTGCTGCTTCCAGTTTCTAGCAGATGGTATTGCACTGCATGGCATAGATGTACCCGGGGTGTAAAAGTAGGCAGGAGGCAATTTGCTTTGCACTGGAGGGCCTTGGTGCTTGTCACCTGTTCACCCGTTCCCCCTCTTCAGCCACCTAAGTCCAGGCATCAGTTTGCAACTGGCTGTGTGTGGGGCTTCACCAAAGCCAAAGCTTTGCTGGGGCACAGAGGAATCCAGATGCAATCCTGGCCTGTTTTCGGAGGACTGCAAGTCGGCGGCAGCTGGGAAGTGATATGTTCCTGTTCAATTAATTATTTCCCTGGGAATAAAAGGCAATGTTTTTTGTTTGGTCTTTGTAATGAATCAATCATTTCTAAAGTATGATGTGCAGACAGACATGGAGAAGCAGCCGGTGTCCTTGGCTGTGCATGCATGTTGGTGTCTGGCTGAGTAGCTTCATTCTAGGATAGGAAGCAGCTGAGATCTCTGGTTTTACCACGGGGCCGTTCCTCTCCCAAAGGCAGCACAGGAGACTCTTACCACTCCTCAAACATCGTGAAAACTGCTGACCCTGAAAATATGGAGTTATCTGTGATTTCCAGAGTGCCTCCCTTGTCCTGTCCTTCTGGAGCTGTTTCCCAAGTGATTGGCATTAGCTCAGAGCAGTTTTGGGGTCACAGAGCTTCTCCATCAGTGTCCTTGGGTCTTCTGCAAAGGCAGAAGCTTTCTCCTTTGTGCTTCTGTATGATAGCTGCAGTATGTGGCTCTTGATGGGTGTCCCTCCGCCTTGATCGTTGCCCATACGCAGCATGGGGAGGCCTGGGGTACAGCACACTAAACCAGCCCCTCTGCTGTGGCCCCGTGTCTGGGGACTGGGAGGATCTGGTGTATAACTTTGTGTTCTTGCCACATATCACTTGTGAGGGGGATCCCCACTGTCATTGGGGGCTGGTAAGACTAGGTTTTTGGGTACTATGAGGGGATTGATCAACTTGAAGCACTTGCAGTTGGATGAGTGCAAAATACGATTCCTTGTCTTTATGTGTATTAAGACCCATTTAACATGAATGTCTAATTAACACTTTGGAGAAAATGAACCATTTGCGAAGAGAGGGACAGTCTTAACAGACCTGCCTGCAGAAAAACTCAGTGCTGCCCACATGCATAGTTGTTGGGTTTTTTTAAATAAAGAAGTTTTTTTTTCTGGTTCCTCATCCAAACATACCAACCTTTTGCTTTTCAGTGTGTAGTGGACAGGGTTAGGCTGACTTTGCTCCTCAGGGCCACCAGTGCCTTTCAAACGCCAGTTGTGCCTACTTCTGACAGAAGAGCCCAGGAGCACCTGTGCCTGGGGGCCTGCATGTGATACCTCCCCATACCACTGTCTTACCTGTCCCTGCAAGAAAGACACTCAAGTTCAAGCTGCCATCTCCTTCACAAGGGCTATTACCTCATTCAGTGGTTTGGTCACTATGAACTCAGGGCAGACAAGGTGTTATGGGTGAATGGGAGAGGCTTTGCTGCCTACTCATCTTCATTGCTGCAATCCTTCCTCCGCTGCAACACTTTATTAACTTTTATGTGTTTATCCCAAAAGCTGGCAATAGAAAGTTCCTGTTCGTGGGTACAGAGAATGATGAAAACCATAACGGGAGGATGAAGGAAGAGAGAAATGGTGGCCCCATCAAGGACTGCACTGGCACCGTGAAGGAATGGCAGCCGTAGGATTAGCCCTTTCTTTCATATGTCAAGGGAAACTTTCCATAAACCACTGACACTGGCCCACCACCCCCAGTATAAGCTCAGCCTCAGTGGCCTCTGTCTAAGCCTAAGCACCACTACATTAATTATTTTTTTCCCCCTGAGCTCTGTTGCTTGATGCATTGAAATGTGTATCGCCTGTGAAACACCTGTGCCCTTGAACATGTCCGTAGTGCCGTTTGCAGGGTCTGCCTGTGTAAACTGTGCCTCTCAGAGCATCTAGAGAGGGGCACATCAGAATAGATGGGTATCCACAGTGGGAGGGGAGGTACACGGAAAGTACCCAGGCAATCGGGATGTCCAGAGACAGTGCCAGTTGGGAAAGGCAGTAAAGCAACTCTTTGTTTATTCTTCATGTTTATCGAAATTCATGGCACTTCGCAGTGACTGATCTGGAGCTGCAGGGCCTGTGCAGGCTGTTACCTCATGCAGGGTGAAACTGCATGTTTCACTCCTGGGAATAGCCCCAAGGTAAAGATAAACAAGTATTTCCTCAGGTGAGTATTTGTCCCTTAATCACAGACTAGGAGACTACCAAATGGCTAGTTTTGCCTGGTTTTGCTCCTTACCAACGTGCTTCAATGAGACCTTGAGTCCTGCTTGCTCCCTCTCTCTCTGAGCCGCGGTCCACCAACAAGCCTCTCGAGGAAACAGCTGAAAGGAAGGAGCAGAAGCAGAGTTCTGGGCACCCCTCTGGCCAGGCAAGAGGGATATGTGAGTGAAAGACAAGAGGGGACCTCCAGGCTGAGAGCACTCTGCATTTCAAGGCTTTTGAAAGTCTCCACCAGGTCCTCCAGGATGGGGCTGAGTTGTTCGTAACCCCAGTGTGACCAGGTGGATGGTCTCCCCAAACACGCTTGGTTCAAGTCTTCCAGGCAGCGCTTTATGCAGCATAAAGAAGTAAGAAAGGGCAAATAGTTGACCTGGAGGCTTTGCTGTCCTGTCTATTTTTCTAATAGGCTGTGCCTTAAAAGCATTGGTTGAGCGATGTTCAATGAGGAGCTAATGTGGCCTACAGTCCTATGCCATATAAGCACAGTGTTCATTCATATACAGAGATATATAGATATCCAGCTGCGTGTTGTTCATGCTGGCACTTTCCACCAAGGGCATATGGCACACATAGGAATATATCAGTACTTCAATTTTTTTATACCAGTAGTTTCAAATTTCTATTTCAGCTAATGTAGACAGAGAGTCAAAGAGACTGATCAACAGGCAGGAAAAAAACCCTATAAAATCTTGCTTTGCAGTTCATCTGGTAAAGGAAATATATAGTGTGTAAACCTTGTTTCTCATCAGGCTGATTTGCATTCGTATAACGAGCTCTGATTCTCCTGTCCCTTGCACTGTTATTTCCCCTAACATCACTTACCTCTGATGTAAGCCAGTATTAGAAAGGTCAGAACAATGTTTTTCATTCCTAGCAAGAGAGGACGTATGTACCCTACCTATGCTAACAACTCTGAACAACTGGAGAACGTATTTATAAATGTATTTATAAAGGTAAAACTATCTCCAAACTCTCCATTCATTGCACTATTGTCAAACCTAGTAAGCTAAGACAGTTGAAATCTGCTGGCATGGGAAAGCAGGGAGACCTAAAACTGTTGCAGTGACCTGCACATGGATGATGCTGCACTCACCAGGACTGAATTGCTGACCCTTTGCTTTATGAGTGACCCCCTTGACTGCGAACTTGCACCCTGAGCTCCTTTTCAGTCTGCAGTCAAAAGAGGCTTCTCATGGGCTACCATGGGATATCCAAGTCTCTAAGCAGGGAGTAACTGTGCAACTGAATACTTACAAGCCAAACAGCTCAAATCCTTTCACTGCTCATTGCCCAACACACATTATCCAGCATCTAATATGGTTGGACGGATGCATTTTCTCCCAACATCTTGGTCATGGGAAAAGATGCTATGTAGGCATTGAGTTAAAAGTCAGCTAAAGCTAAAAAGTCAAGGGCAATAGGAGGGCTTCAGGGTGGGCCCCTATGAATGTTTCCACTGGCAGGAGTATGCTGTCTATCTCATGTGCACCACTTTCAATCCAGCTGAGGTCCACCTGAAAGAGAGGGCAGGCCCAGCCCAGACCTGGCTGCAGATGTTTGGAACTGGCCTGGAGTCTGCACTGGTGTTTCTTTGGGGTTAAGACCAATGGTTTGGCTCAGTGCCATGATCTTCAGCCTCAAGAGTTTGGGCTTGGACCTGGATCAGCCTTTCCAGCAGTTCAGGAACTCACCAGCTTTGATGTCCCATATTAGACCACCTGTACTTACCCTATTTTTGGCCTGAGCTTTCAAGAAAAAAGAGGTTCAGACATGGACTATGGTGTTTGGTTTTGCATTGCGCTGCCAGACAAGAATATCCTGTCATCATATGGAATCACTGAAAACTTAAATAGCATCCCTAAAACCTTCCTCCCCTCCCAAAGCTTTTTGCTGTTCCTAGCATGTTGATGAGTAGCTACAGACTCCCGCAGCAGCACTCACAGGATTGAGTGGTCTTGGCAGAGTTGCTGCAAAGGGCATTGTGTTTAATAAAAGGACTAAACTTTACAGTGGCCTTCCCTATGTCTTGAAGTGAGATTTGGTCTTTGGATGCTAAGTGCTGGGCTGATGAGCATAGAAAATATAAACTGTCTCCCTGTGTCCCTCTGGCAGCGAGCAGGCAGGCACTTTTCTCCTGCCCTGGGACACTCGGGGCAGATTCCCTGCAGCTTCCTATTGTCCTTACTGAAGAGGCATGATTTGCAGCGGTGCTGGGTGCCTGCAG